TGTGTGTTCGTGGCTATGGGGAGAGGAGTACTGTACACTGTATGTGCGCTGTGGGGTGCATGTATGGTTTAATGTAGGCTAGACTCAGGCTTTCCTTCTTCCTGGCAAGTCCTTGACTCTGTGTTTCCCCTGCTCAGAGCTGGCAGTCTAGACTGCCATGAATAATGTAAGCAGTGCCCTCCCCAACCTTAAAAACCCTCAGTGGTTCCCAAACTTTTTGTGCCCAAGGCACACCAAAGGACAAGTAAAAATCTCAAGGCACACCTATTGTGCAAAAATAGCCCTTATAACACGTGTTATCACTCATATCATGTAAAATATCTGTAAATGTGCATAATTATTTACTAATGCCAAATAAAATGTGACAAAGACAACTATATTACTCATGAAATATTTATTAACTAAATATTTCAGAAATTAATTTGAAACTTTATCAAATTAGGCTTCATCAAAGCAGCAACACACTCATTTAAACCAGACAGGTCACAAAATTAAAAATGAGGCAAAGGAAACTCAGCAGAAATTCTGCACAGAGAACTGTCAATGCAAGGAAGCTGCATTGTCCATGGTCCTGAACTAAATTATAAATGTAACATTTCAGCAATCAGCATTGAAACATGTGCTATTGTAAATATTTTGCCGATTTACAAATTAGTGAGATACATGTGCCTGTCGGGGCGCTCAGAATTTTTTTATCCTTGGTGGCACTGAGGAGAGGGCCACTCGCAAGTCCTGTTCAACAGAGAGCCGTGAACTCCTGTTGTTCTTCATGTAAATCAGAGTAGAGAACGCCAACTCCAGAGATGGGGTCGTTACTATTTTTTAAAAATATATTACATATTACTTAAAAAGTAATATATTACACTACTTCGTTACTATCTACATAAAGTAACTCGTTACTTTACTCGTTACTTTACTTGCCGAGCACGTACGAACTGCGCATGCGTGAGTGGCAATAACTTTCCTTACCAGCAGGCGGCGGTAGTGTGTATTTGTCATTCCAAACAGACAACAACCGGAAGACAGAGAAGAAGAACAGACTACGTGATATAAACAAACAAATAGCGTGTGCGGTAGCTTCACCTTAGCATGTGTTCTTTGCAGGTGTTTGTTGAGGTTTGACGTGGTGTTTCCAGCAGAGGATAACAGCTTCTGGCCTGGACACAGTTTGCACCTCACCATCACATTCCTGTCTATTCTTCGGACGAACTCAAAATAATGGGCATACCTCCACCCCTCGAAAGTTATCGCTGACTCAGCCATGTTTATGCAGCACTGCACGTGGAGATGTGGACGCACAAGTCGCGCAGATTACGTACATATAAACCTACAAAGTACGGATATAGTAAATTAAAAAGTCATTATTTTTGTGTAGTTGTATATTGCAATAAATAATGTATGGTTGTCACAACATCCGTTTGGGAACCACATCGCCCTGTTTAAGGGCCACATCAACGTCTATGCCAAAGATCATTAAACGTACACTCTGATAACTGACTACATGAGCAAAGACATTTATTACAGCGGGGTTGAGGAGGACACTTGGTCTTGGTCCTTGTGTTTTCCCTCCTGCTCAACCCTTCTATTTTCTATTCGCACGTCATGCTTCCTGCTCTTCTTCTTCTACTACGTCACAAGTTCAACCAGCGATGTTCTCATCCAATTGTATCTCTAAAATGTAAAAGGATCAACTCTTGTCAGTCAGGATCTGATATAAAAACTGAGCGAACTGTAGTGGTGGACATTAACTAAATACATTTACTCAAGTACTACCAATACTTTTATATATTACCGGCTTCAACATTAAAGTAGTGAACACATTCATTCTTCCAATAAATACTAATGCAATCCAACATATCATCTGAGGTTTTTATACACCATTTCTTCTTTTACTTCAGTAAACCTCCTTCACCATTGGCGGGCTCCATTCCCTCTTTATCTAACCTCTCTGCAGACTCCAGCGAGTGATGTGTCTCTTTGGCTCAACAGCTCGATTCAGAAAAGGGCTGCCATCACATACAAAAGTCTTCCTGTACATTTGAAAAGGTGGAAGATGAGCAAATGAAAACAGAGAAGTGAATTATAATTGCTGTTGATTCAGTTTGTTGTGCTGCCTAATTGCTGTGTGTTGATGGTAAAAGTCTGTTGTAATCAAAGAAACACACACTCAACAGACTATCTGCCCTCAGCAGATGTGGGGGAACGCGGAGACGGAGCCGAGAATCTGTCAAGTTGTTTCCAAGAGGAAGACTGATTCTCTTCCTTTTTTTTTTACCCTCCACTGTAAACTGGCTCTAATGAAGGTTGACTGTGAAGTGTTTTTTTAAAAAAAAATATTGTGAGAGCAAAAGTGTGGCTCATTAAAAAAAAAAAAAACTGTCAATGCTGCCTTGCCATCGCAGGCACCTTGAGCTGCAGTCTGCAGCCACTGGATCACTGATTCAGTCTTTTTCTATCTTCCCCACCTCTTCTCATGTCATCCTGCACTCTTTCTTACCCATACTTTATCTGCATATAATATCATCTATACATTTTCTATCTATTACCCCTCAGATTCTGCATTAGCTCTGTATCCGTACCGACCCCTTGTTATCCTCTCTCCTCTTTAATATCAGAGGTGTTGCTCGCTGTCTGCACCATCACAGAGATCTACAGCTGTGAGGTGAACACACGCAGCGTCCTCCTTCAGTGATCGCTGATCTGCAGAGTCTGAGGGGGGAGAAAATAGTGTCAACGTCTTGGGCGATGATTGATGCTCTGGATGAGCCTGTGCTGGGACTGTCAGCAGTTGGGCATGGCTGCTCAGTGAAAATGTTATGATTAGCCCCATCCATTCCCAGAATGTGTTTTGATTGGCCGCAATACAAGAATCTTGTGTCTGGAGCTGAAACGGAGCACAGGATTTGTAGTAAGTGGGGAATATTACAGAACATGCATCTTGATAAAAGGGGAGATTTTGTCGCGCCCGCTAGTCTCTGTGATCAGCTATATTGGCACCTCATAAACACAGCTCTGTAGTAGTGTGTGAGTGGGAAATATTACACTACATCCGTCTTGATAAAAGTTTTTTTTTTTTTTTTTTACAGGCTTCATAACAAGCAGCCCTCATTAACACTGAACCCTGGTGCCTGTATACCAGCAGAGTGTGAGGGGCTGAGGCTGAAATGCAGTTGCTGTGTCAAATCCCTTTATCCACTAGAAAACAGCTCCCCCTCCATTTACCCCCTTTGGCCTAAGTGCCAGATCAGATAAGGATAGGCCATATTTCCAACATTTGTTTTGACTCCTTGCCTTGACACTGTGGTCTTCTCTGCCGTGAGCTGCTCTGACTCCTGCAGACTGGGCCAGTCATGGGTCGGATATGAATCAGATATGTCTCTTTTAGAGTCAAAGATTAAGATTAAGATGGACTTTTATTAATCCCTCGTGGGGAAATTGTTTCTCTGCATTTGACCCATCCTAGTGTTAGGAGCAGTGTGCTGCCATTTTGAACGGCGCCCGGGGAGCAGTGTGGGGAACGGTGCCTTGCTCAGGGACACCTCGGTAGCACTTGGTCTTGCCGGGACTTGAACTGGTGACCTTCCAGTTGCCAAGCCAAGAACCTATCAACTTCGCCACCACCGCCCCAAAGTCTTAATTTGAAGGGAATTTGAAAGAAGTGTGTGTACAGTATGTGGAAATACACATATGCCTGTGAGCTGAGATCACCATGCCAGTAACAGAACATCTTCATCCCACATTTCTAAATAGATTTACAGCAGCTGTGCCTCTGTCTCCTGAATCACTGCACACTATCCGCTTATTAAGAGTTGAAGCCAGGACAGACGAGAAGCAATAACATGTTGATGATGCAATTACCTTGATAATGTGCTCATTAAAACACTGACCTCGCTCAACACTACGCCTGAAATGTAACCCGATTTGTCATAGTATGATATGTAGGGGCAATTCTTAATAAGGGAGTTTGATAGGACACTAATGATTTTGGCCTCCTGCCCTACCAACATAACTCTTTTTCAGACTGCATGGCAGGCTTTTTAGCAACCTTTAGACGTCAAGGAGCTTGAATAATCATTACAGGATTGTGTGCCGAAGTAAAAACAATAAGTGTGGTTTGATATTGAGTAAGAAAAAGGTTTATAACGCTGCGAGAATGGGTCTGCGGAGAGCATTTCTCCGCGATGCCAACTCGTCTATTACCAGCGTTCAGGGAGCTCTATGCAAGACAGTCAATGGGGACTCCCTGTTAGTTAGCCAAGGGATCCTGGTATGTGAGGTGCTCTGCAGATTTGTCCATTTGGGTCATTTGTTGTTGATTTGGGTGTTCACACGTCAGAGAACCCAGGAAGAAAACAATGGAAAAAGAGAAATCTCCAACGAGGCGTTCTGGGGCAGCATAGACAGGTCTTTTCTGTGTTAGAGTTTTACTTGCTACAGGGTGTACTTTGAGGGTTTTTGACTGCAAAAAAACCTTCATAACACACAAGCGGACGGGTAATAACCGGAAAAGCATGACATGGGCCCTTTTAAATTTGTTTCGTCTAAGAAAAAGTTGTATTCCTGTTTTTTATTTGTAAAGCGAAGCATTTCTTACAGTACTTTTGCATGCTGTTAATCTCTGTGACCAAATCTTTTTTTAAGAATCTAAAGATGTTTCTGTGTTTCTTTTCAGAAACAAACACTCGTGACAACCAACAAAGGAAAAGCAGAGAAGACTTTGGGAGGACTGTTCAGAATGGCTGAGGCTGGACAGAAGCAGAGCTGCTTTGTACAGACACATGATCCATGTTTACCTGCAGCCGTGCAGCTCCAGGGCATCTTTTAATGATGCCTCATTTGGTCCTCTTGAATAACTCTTGGCCCACACTCAAAAAGGCCCTCCATTGTAATTTACAGTCGTCGATGTTCCCCTGCCTCTGACCTCTCAGCTGCCATGCGGTTGGCCCCATGAGGCTCTGAGAGCCCCTCCGTGTGTGTCTGTGAGGCCTCCTCCCCACTCTATGGAGGCTGAGCCCAGCCGTCCGGCTGATGGGGAGTGCTCGGGAAGGCAAGAGCAGCATGAGACTGCTGAATCCTCTCTAGGATCTGTCCCACCTCAGCAGCCCCAGCAGCCTCCTACCCCTCGCCCTTCACACAGAGCTTTGGGCCGCCTGCAAAATCGCCAACCCAAACGCTCCGACCTTCTGCTTCGGTTACAGCAGCAGCAAGCGGTAACATGGCAGAATTCGGACAGCGCAGGTCCCTCAGGAGGCAGCTTCTGCTCTCCAGCTTCCTCATCAAGCTCATCCCTCCTGACTACTTCCTCCAACCCGGGTGAGCATGTTCATGGGGTTCCATCTCAGTCCAGCCAAGACAACCCAGAAGGAGTCAGCTCACCCAGAAAAGGGGAAAAGAAACCCCAAAAACCAGGGAAATATGTGTGTACTTATTGCGGCCGTCCATGTGCCAAGCCAAGCGTTCTTCAGAAACACATTCGCTCCCATACGGGAGAAAGACCCTACCCTTGTGCCCCCTGTGGCTTTTCATTCAAGACCAAGAGCAACCTGTACAAGCACCGCAAGTCCCATGCCCATCGCATTAAAGCGGGGCTATCGTCCAGTCGTGATGAGCCCAGTTTGAGTGGACCAGAGGGCAGTGGCGTTGGAGAAGACCCTGAAGAACACACAGAAGGAGAAAGCACTGAGTCTGAAGAAGAGACGGGCCAACATAGGAAGTCCTCCTCAAAGGTAATGTTGGGCCAGCAGAGAAAAGGTGGTAAGGAGCCGCTGGGAGGCTCAGAGGAGAGCCAGAGGCTTGAAGACTCTCAGGCTATCAAGCAAAGGCTGGCACTGAGGCTTAGTGAAAGGAAACGTGGCCCGAAGACTTCTTCAGATGACCGTCTTTCATCCCTCTCCACCTCATCTTCCTCTCTGGGCCCCGGCAGTAGGGGAAGCACAGAGTCTGGCTACTTCTCCGGGTCAGGCAGCACTGACCTGTCCCAAGTTAGCCCTCCCAGTGCCAGTGCCAAAACCTACGCAGAAATTATTCTAGGTAAATATGGAAGGCTGGGAGGGCAGCAGCGCAGTCCCCATCAGCAGCAGCCTCATACTTCACTTTCTTCATCCTCAGGAAGGGAGGAGAAGAGCCTTACTTTCGCTGTACCCAAAACCCAAGTAATAGAACACATTACTAAACTCATCACTATCAATGAAGCGGTAGTGGACACCCGTGAGATTGACAGTGTGAAGCCCAGACGCTCCTCTCTGTCCAGGAAGAGCAGCATGGAATCACCCAAATGTACCACCCCTAAAGATCCCTACGCATTTGATCCCAAAGGTGAAGCCCCTGGCCCCAGTGGTTTGAAGCACCTTCAACATCCTGAGGCAGATCCAACGGGAACCCAGGAGCTGTCAGGGGCGCCTCTGCTAAGAAGCCACTCAATGCCATCCTCTACCAGCCAAGGAGAGCCACCCAGCTGCGGCACCATGTCTCCCGGAGGTTACCGTCTCTGCCAGTCCTTCGATGAGCAGCAAGCAGTGGTAGCAGACATAAGGGTTGGCCATGTCCAGCGTATGCTGAGGCGCCAGCCTGCCATAGAAGTTCCCCTGGGAGCTGAGCTCATGCTAGAAGACTCTGACCCCACTTCTTCCTCTTCCGCCAGGCAGCAACAACAACAGCTAAAGAGTCAGAGCCTGTTGGACTGTGAAGCATGCGGGGCCCACTTCCAACACAGTGAAAGCTATGAGGCCCACAGAGACATGTGCTCAAGACAGCAAACGCTGGAACAAGAGAGCAGGGAGACAAGTAGAACAAGTAGAACAAGCAGGGAGGATCGTCCCCAGATGATGATGCACTTTAAGTTCCGAGCCCTGGCCATGGCGGTGAGGAAGAGGAGGAAAGAGGAAAGTCTAGAGGAGGACCCTCCCAGCCCTGGATCTGTAGCCACTTCAGGAAACTCTGCAGGCCTCAACCCTGTGCCAAGCAGACCAGAGCATAGCCAGGCCCTCTCAGGTTTGTTTATGTTGCCCTGCAGATCAAATTATAACAACATTATCCTGTGTTAGCAACACTTCTGTGCTATCATTCATTTGTATGCTCTTTAAAATCTTAGAAATGTGAATGACCAAACAATTATTTCAAAAATGCTAATAAACATAATTAAAGTCAAAGAACTACTATGGGAAATGACACTACACTATAGACAATTGCTTGTATACCAATATAAAGGAATGGTGTTTTCTTTGGTTTGTTTCTAGGTTTTCAGATTGAGCCAAAACAACAGCCGCAGCAGGACAGGAAGGGTGTGTCTGTCATCCAACACACAAGCTCTTTTGAGAAGCAGGAGAGCATGTCCACGGAGAGTCAGAAACCAGACCTCAGAGAAAGTCAGCAAACACAACAACCAGAGCCAAAACCATCACCCTCGACATCTCGCCTGATCCGCCAGCCCAACATCCAGGTGCCAGAGATCTTTGTTACCGTGGAGCCCGATACTGATATGCCATCTGTGTCGCCGCCAGCGACGGCATCCACATCCAAGGTATAGGATTACACAAGGCTATATTTGTTTGCACATTTTACACAGTTTGATTGCATTACCTTTGTTTTCTCCCTCCCTTCAAATAAAGGTGAAACATTTATTGATTAAAAAGGGAAATTGGTATTTTGTTTCTTTGTCTAAGTTGCAAATGGGGACAACATTTTGGGTAGTCCAGTATTGAGCGACAGAGCTGCAGCTGTCATTTACGAAGATGGGCTTCCTTGTGATTCCGCACCGTCAATGCACGTACACTAAAAGTGATTTTTTTTCACAGATTGTCGGCATTAAAATATCACTGTTAATGAAAAGACTCCCAATGTAATCAGTGGACATATGAAACATTTGTAGTGTGTACAGCGTCTGCCGGCTTAAACACTCGCTCAATACTGGACCAACCTCAAAAATGTAGTTACTTAGACCAAAAGCATGGGAAAAACAATCGAAAGTAGAGTAAAGTTACCCTCTATGGTTGTATTTAGCAGGTGAGCAGTCAATATCCCTTCATCTTACATGTAATGTTGGATTAGTAAACTATGTATCTGTCATAGGAGATGGAGAGAGTGGAGGAGTTCCAGTGGCCTCAGCGTAGCCAGTCCCTGGCCCAGCTCCCTCCAGAGAAGCTGCCACCAAAGAAGAAGAGACTCCGCCTGGCAGAAGCAGCACAGTCCTCCGGGGAGTCTAGCTTTGAGTCTGTGCCTCGCAGCCCCAGTCAAGAGAGCAACATCTCCCACACTTCAAGCCCTTCTTTTGAGGACACATCACGATCCGAGCCTGCCGCCTGGGCCTCCTGCAGCCAAAGCTCCCAGATGTTGATGGTGCCATCCGCTTCCTACCAACACCACCAAAGCCACAAGGAAATGAGGCGCTCGGCCTCAGAGCAGACCCCAACCAGTCCCCAACAAACAGAGCAGATCTCCGAGGGCAGAAGTAAATCCTTTGATTATGGGTCGCTGTCCCATCAGCAGCCTGCCTCCTCCTCCTGGAAAGAAAGGAGAAAGTGTCTCCTTGTAAAGCATGCCACCTTAGGGGAACCTGAGCAGGAGGAGGGGGCCAGCACCAATCAGCTGTCCAGAACGGAGAGTCCAAAGCCTGGGCCTTCCTGCTCCATCCACCCTTCTCTTTACTCAACAAAGGCAAGCTCTCGGTTCAGCTTGGACGCCACGGGGAAATCCCTGCAGCTGCTACAGCCACACATCTTTCCACCCTCTCATGATGTGCTCTCTCTGCAGCAGGCATTTCCCCAACGGTCGCTATCCCAGCTACTCCCCGTCAACACAGCCGTCTCTGAAGTACTGTCCACCCAAATCATCCATAGAGCCTTCTTACATTCCCACACAGCCCCTCCATCTATACAGATGCACTCAGCGCACATCCACATGGCAGAACAGTTGGGTATACCTTTCCATCAGCTTCCTGCTATTGTTCCTCTTCAGTTCTCTTCCAGGACTAGAGAGAACCAGGCTGTGCACTTGCCTTTTCCTCCAAGACTTACTGCTCGTGTTGCTTCCCCTCTCAGTACAGAGAGCAGGCCCTCCACCTCTTCCATATCTTCTGCCTTTACACATCAATCCCTTGTAAGAATCTCCTACCACCACCCACGGCCGATCATCGCCACATGCCTGGCTCAGCTTACACCAGTAGTGTCACTTGTGGTGCCAGTGCGTCTCCAGACACATATACCTACCTACGCCAGTGCCATGTATACCACTCTGTCCCAGATTCTTGCCTCGTCATACTCACAGGAACCCATTTCTTGCACAGCTATGGTCATCATGGGCCAGGTGGAGCGGGACAAGCTGCAAAGGTCCTACTTGAAGGTCCCTTCATCAGACATCAAGAGTCTTCTTCCTCTGTCTCTGCCCACCGAGCTGGCCTCAGGATCTCTGGAGGGGTATGGGCCACTGGGGGCAGGAGGGAGTAAACGCATGCTCTCTCCTGCAGCCAGTCTGGAGCTCAGCACAGAGGCCCAGCGTCACCAGAAAAGGGTAAAAGAGGGGGAGGAAGGGGATCAACATAAGGCAGGAGAGGAAGAGGATGAGAGGCGGGAGGAGGAGGACGTAGAACAGAAGGTTCTACATCAGGAAGAAGAAAGTAAGACACCTGGGAGAAAACTGGAAGAGGAGGAGAAGAAACAGCCAGAGAGATTAGAGGGAGAATCTGTGAAAGTCGAGGGGGAGTTAGAGCAACTACCAGGGACACATCATTGGGAGGAAAAGGAGGAGGAGGATAAGGACTCTGAAAAGACAACCAAAAAAAAGGAGGGGGTGCCAGTTTTGGATAAAGGGGTTATTACACCGCCTGCCCCTTCATATCCCAGCCTCAACACCTCCGCCTCAGTCAACTGGTGCTACCTGAACTATGTCAAACCCAACCCGTCCACCCTGAGGGACCCCCGTAGCTCTGTCTATTCTACTTGGAGTGTCAGTGCGCACAACCCCAACCTGCCGGGCCTCAGCACTAAGGTGGCCATGTCTCTGCTATGCTCCAAACAGAAGCACAGCTCCGAGACGTACACCATGGCCACGGCCCCCACCCCAGCCAAAAGCAGGTTGGCCCCTGCCAGTAGCAGGACCCCACGTGTGTCCGAGGTAAACGTGATCACAATTTACACCACTTTATTTATGAGTTATTGTAGACCACTCTGTTTAAAGGTCCCCTATTGTACTGTTTTTCATCAATATATTATTGGTCTCAGATAAATATAAAGCATGTCTTTGAAGTGGCTCGAAAATATTGTAGCATCCCATAAACCCCTGTGCTGATTCTGTGTCTGCTACTTTAGATGAAAATAAGGAGCCACTCCCCACGCCCCTCTGCAAGATATTTGGTTAAAAAGAACACAATGGTGCTCTAGGATGAGATTCAAGTGATAAGGTGGGGGGGGGGGGGGGGTTACCTTGGTTGGTGATTGGCTAATGGTTACACAAGCCAAAAAAAAATCGTTATGACATCATAAAGTGGCCAAAATCTGATCAGCTCATTTTCAGACAGGTTTTTATATAAATGGATCAGGACAAAAAGAGAGAGAATCTTTTTTCCTGAAACTTTCAGAATCTCTTTACACATGTTGATGTATAAAAGACATGAGAAAGTGGATTTTGCATAATAGGTGACCTTTAAGATACCTTAAACTCCCTTAACTACTCACTCGTAACTATCTATTAAAAGGTGTACTTCACAATTGAACTCAATAATGTCTACCTCCATGGGAACTCTTTTAACAATAAAAAATGTTACATTTTATTTTAAGTTGTTTTGAATTTTTCGATGTGTGTCTTGAGTGTAGGTACATGCCACCCCACCCAGCACCCTCACCAAAGTAAAGGATGAGGAGCCGAACGACAAGGAAGAGCCTAAAGAGATGAGGGAGGAGGAAGAACCCTCCACCTCCAAACAGAGCGAGCCGCCTCGTGTTCGCATCTTTGAAGGCGGGTAAGAACATCTTTTAATTCAATATTTGCAAATAATTGCGGTGCCTCATTACACAAGTAATCTGTTTTTCTGTCGCAAACCAACGCCTGATGACGGAAGGAAAACAAGTAGGGAGAGCTGAGAGTATCTTTTTAACAGATGGGATGCACTGAAACCCGCAGGGACTTCATTTGTACCTGCAGCCAAGCTTTTTCCTCTTACTGCTGCCATGAAAGCCTGTGTTTTAGAAATTCGGAGAGATAGCACTGGGTGTGTGATTGGGTGTGTGTGTTAATAGGGACAATGTGTAGCCATTTGACTTTGTGAGACTCTAATTTATACCTTTTTTCTTATGGTTGCATAAGTTACTAAGAAGACACAACGCAACAGTTTGAAGCAATCTGCAAGCAATTAGTATCAGTCATGATTGGCATGTGTTTTTCTACAGACCTGTACGCTTTTTTACACTTTTCTACATTCATGTATAGATTAAATTCAATTTGTTTGTCATTGCACAGAATACAATTACTTATACACATATTTGTGCTGACTGTCCAGAACATCCTCTGTACCAGTTCCAACGTGTTTAGTGTTTCCCAGCTCTGTTTACATTGAAGCAAATACAAGAAAATAGATGGGAATACAGAGAGTAAATGATGGATTGGAAATACAATGCTCCCAATTAAGAAACTCACAAGAAAACTGTTTGTAGTTTGATAGGAACAGATTTAGTTTTAAAGAGCTATCGCGTAAAACACATGTATTTTGCTATGTGCTGCATGCACATTTAAGGCCTGTATTTTGTGTTAATGTGCGGAAAGATTGAGTGTGAAGGAGTTGTCTGCCTTACAGTAGATAAGGCGCTAATTACCAGTCCTTATCATTTGCAGCAACGCATTACACACATTCAGGGAGTGCATTTTCATCCATAAACAGCCTACAGCTTCCTCACGTCCTCTGTTTCCATCACACCAACCCTCCTCCTTCTGTTCATGCTGCCTGTGTCACTCTGGCAGCTCTTGCACTTTTACTTACTTGTTTTCTCTTCATTCCTTTCCAAGCTCCTCTGTGTCCTCTATATGTTTTCTCTGTGCATGCAAATAAGCATAGCTCCTCTGAATGTGTTGTACCCTGACTCTGTTAGCACTCATTATCCCTATCTCCCTTTTGACGACCCTTTGAAATCATGACTACGTGCCACTCATTTCATCCTGGAGATCCAGAAACACTTTCTTATCTGTGAATATGCATCGTACAGCTTTGTTTATGTTCCAGTGACTTCTCCAATCTTATCCCGATCCCATTTCAAATATCCCTTTAAAAAGAGGGGAGCAGCGGTCTCTAGAGTTTATTATTATCACAAAGCTAAAGAACAAGTTACAGAGCTAACAGATATTGGACCAAGGCAGCTTTTTCCTTATGTCTTAGCAATTAAGCAAGCAAATCGGCTCATTCCTGGTGGCAGCAGAAGTCCGTGGTACGTCAGCTTTAATCCCCCTTTAGTGAGCACATGCTGAACTCTAGATTCTGTTAAAACATGCAGATTGATTTGCATGGTGTAAGTGGTTAACACGGCAGATTTGTCATGACACTTTTAACCACAGTGGTGAAACAGGCACAGAGGGCTTATAGTAAGTGTCCAAAGGATTGGTTATATCTACCTGCAGTGTTTCCTTTTACTGTTATTCAGAAATTCAGTGGCCCTATCAATCAATCAATCACACCCTGGTTGAAAGCGCTATTCACTTCACCAATCTGCCAAGAAGCCGTAAAGCTACAGCACCAGCAAGGGCAGATTGTCGGTTGAGACGTGCTGCTGATTTAATGCTCAATGTGTGAAGTGCGACTTCTGTCTTGTTTTTGTGGGTGGATATTTTTTAGCAGTGGCAAGAAACACTTGCCAGTTAACAGTCAGCAGATCCTGAATGAATACAACATAATGCCACTGTTGAGGCTATATTACAGTTGTGTAACAATTTGTTATGATTTGCTGGTTCTGTTATACAACGGGGAGCATTCACAGCCTGGGTTCTTAATTAAACACAGTCAACAAACATTGAATGTTTACAGTCCAGAATATATTGTGCGTCCTTTCATGAGCGAGGACAATTCATTCAAATGTCAAATGTCTGCGGTCCACTGCGTTCACAAATAGTCTTTTGGTAAACATTAAGATTGAGTATAAACAATGTTTTTGTGGACCAGAGCTAAATGCGGTGCCTATTTTTTATATATAGTGTCTATTTTAGGTTGTTGGCCATAGCCAGGCTTCCCTTCCCTCTCTTTAGCTGCTGCTGTTGTTGGCAGGGCCGCCCGGTCGCAGCAGAATAAGTATTCTCTGTGTGGCCAGGGTGTAGAGGAGGGAACAGCCGAGGGACTCAGTGCTGCTGGGGTTTTGGTGGGGCTTCCCCAACCAACTTCCATAGAGAAAGCCTTGTTTGACCAGTGTGTGTACATGTATTCATGTATTTGTGTCATCCACATTCGTCATTATTATTGAAGCTGCACGCTGCATGTTTTTCCATGTGAAAGGGGTCGCCTCTAGTGAAAAGTCAAAAAATAATCATCACCTAATCTCTATAAACGGATGTCTTGGTTTTTTTTAGGAACTCTGGCCACACCCTACAATATTGGCTGTTGTCTCCAGAGGCTAACCACTTTAGCTAGCTACAGCTTTAAAATCTAATTCAATTTCATTCAAATAATATACCTTCCACTACGGATATTCAATGAAAAAGCAGGTATTTGTGCATCTAGCTCCTAGATTTACCACAAAGTGAAATCAGGGATATACAGTATATGTAGATTGTGATTTTGTGGTGATCGAACCCCTTATCTTTCTCCTCTCTCGCTCTCTTTCTTAGATATAAATCCAATGAAGAGTATGTTTATGTGAGAGGTCGCGGCCGGGGGAAGTACATATGTGGAGAGTGTGGCATCCGCTGTAAGAAGCCTAGCATGCTGAAAAAGCACATCCGAACACACACAGATGTCCGTCCGTTCATTTGCAAACACTGCAACTTTGCCTTCAAAACCAAAGGTAAGCAGTTAACACAACATTACTAAAAACATTCCTACTGCTATTCTTCCCATTATATTTTAGCCACTTGCTTCTTCCTGTTTCCGTTGTTGCAATATCCTCATTTTCCTTTCCCAGAGTGAGATCATTTCAATGTGCTTTTCTTTTTCCTTCCTAGGGAACCTTACTAAACACATGAAGTCAAAGGCTCACGGGAAGAAATGCCAGGCTATGGGAGTATCTGAGTCATCACTGGACGAGCCAGAGAGCGAGGAAACAGGTACTTAAGAGGGGATGGGAAGGCATCTCACATGTTTCCTATCCGCTGTAGAGAAATATTGGTACACTGCTGAATGAACTTCTGCTTCTGAAGAATTGTAGCTGCTCTGCCCTGACAGCTTATGCAACGACATGTTCTATTCTCCTCCCTTTGGCCTTGCATATGAAAAAAGTAGAAGATGAATGAATGAAGAATACAGAGCACCTCATAGTCCCCAGATGTGTTTTCTGCAGTCTACCTTGTTCTCACGGATGTGTTGCTGACGTATGGCAAAACGCATTTCAACACTTAAGTCTGCCTCGAAGCCATCCACCTCACGATCTACTCCCTAACCTTCCCCTGCTCCCCCCGCCCACCTCCATCTCTTTCTTGCTGACAGACTACACTCATCACATCCAAGGACGCGCCATTTAAACCGTCGTTCCATTCACAAGGCTGTTGAGATAGTTTGTGAATAGAGGCATGGTGCTATTCAATTAAATTCCGGTCTTTTCATGCTCAGTCTATTTATAACATGGGTTTGATGGGTGGTGGGTGAGGTTTGTCGTAAATATACAGTACGCTGTCCTAACCCTTTGTGCTTGTCCCTGAAAATTGTTCCGTTAATGTGTTTTTCTTGTCTCTTTGTGCGAGTATTTTCACGGCAGGACTTTGATAATGGATGTAAAGAGGATATCATTTCATGTTTCTGTTTTTGCACAAACAGCAGGAAGTGATGAGCGTGTGTGTGGCGCAGAGGAACAGGAGGAACATCAGTTTTCTGACGTGGAGGACTCTGAGGACGATGACGACAACGATGACGACGATGAGGAGGAGGAAGAGGAGTCCCATGACGATCAACCGTCTTCCTGCTCGTCAGACAACCACCCATCGACAGGGGGGCGGTCCAGCTGCAGTAGGCGCTCTCAGCAGGACATCCCCGACCCCGAGCCCCCGGGACTCAGCCCTCCCCCGGGTCAGGAGCCCTGTCCGAGGGGAGTTTGGCCCAACAGAAGGGCCGCATCTCCAGGCAGCAGGAGGGCTCTGTTCTCCTGGCGGGGCTGGAAGGCGTCACCGAGGGCCTTCTCCCCCCGCAGTCAGAGCTGCTCCCCCAGCAGCAGCAGCCTCTCCCCCCGCCTGGAGCTGTCCTTGCGCAGCAGACACATCTCACCTTCCCCTGAGAGAGGACCATCTCCCATCTGTCCCGTTTCTCCTCTTCCTCCCATTTCGCCCGGCTGTTACCGGTCGTCACATGCCCGGACCCCGCCTCCACCAATCAGGTTACAGCACAGGACCCCTGGATACCTGCCGTGGGAGAGCCCTGGAAATAAGGGTAGTCACGTCAAAACGGTGAGTTTTGTTTATTATCACTTCACAATGTATTTCCTCTCAGTGTACAGTAACCTGTGTTCTGACAGTCCCTGAAATATAATGGTGACGTTTTTGCTCCCTCTACAGGGGAGAAGAGGCGCAGCAGAGGGGCCGTCAGAAGCCAGCTTGTTTCCACCCGCCTTCCGTCACTCCAGCTGTGAAGGTTATCCTGGCCTCCAAACAACTGACAACATCTTCAGCCACCTTCCTATGCACTCCCAACAAGCCAAGCTCCCATATCTCATGATACCCATCGGAGGGATCCAAATGGTACAGGCCAGACCTCGATCCCACCCGACCACCCCCTCGTCCCCAACATCTCCCCCCATAGAGGGGCCTTCATTGGCTAGATTTGAATCCTACTGGGGCGGGACCCCCAGAACTCAGGGGCTCAGGACTCCCGGAGACGTGCATTGGTCGGAGCATCAGGCAGGAACAAGCCAGTCGGGGTGGAGCGTCCTAAGCACAGCACTAAACACGGAGTTAGAGACCACGGACTCAAAGCAATATGGCAGCTCGCACAGCTCCGCCCAGATGCTCAGGCCTGCTTCTGAGGCCACAAAACACTGCGTCAGAGACAGTTCAGGAGCACCCGTTAGTAGGGCAGCCCTCATTGGATGGCAGCTGGAGGGGGAGGAACCTAGGTCCGGTGATGATCAGGTGGAGGTGGGAGCTAAAGGGGACTCAGCCAAAACAGACACTTAACCTTGATGGGCCACGCATCCCCTTTTGCTTTATTGGTTGCTACACTAGTCTTGTTTTTTTTTATTGCTTCTTTTTGATACAGTTTTCAATACTATTGTTAACTTAAATGTTTGTTCTTTGGCAATATTCAGGTTTGTTATACAAATGCACTTTTACTTTGTGAAAATATTGTCTATCTATATATATATAAATGATATATATATAAATATATCCCTCCTTTATGCTTTATTGATACTGGTAATCTTAATGTGTGTTTAAATATGTGTAAAAAGGAATATGAATACATTTGTAAATGACCAAATCTTTAATCAAAAATAATTCAAATTTTGTCCAGTATTACTCAACTTGTTACTTGTGCCTTTTCTGTCCAGGTTTGTGTTTCGAGATGTACAGTGCCGATAAACAAAGAGAAGGCTGTGAAATTTTATATCCGCTTTTTTGTGTTTATGAGGGTTAATACTTGGGGTTGTTTCTCTTCTGAAGGCTATTGCTTTAATCCTAGGGTAACAGAGAGTCGCTCGGTGTTGGTGTTGAAGGAGCAGCGTGTCAAAGGAATTGCACTGAAGTTCTATTTTTATTACAAAGGATATTAGATTAGAATATATCTCTGTACAGGGAAGAACGCTCCTTATTTATTTTTATTTGATGACAAGGATCATTGTTTAAGTTTTTTTTTTCTTTTTACTTTTTTTCTATCGGAAAGAGGATGTTTTTTGTTACATCTGTGTGTCTTTTCCATGATGTTCATGTGACTTGAATTGGTGACAATGATGAGGGATTGCATTTGGCTGGTACCGGAGGATTAAGTGCCCTGCAGATTTCACCGACAGCAACATTTCTAGTCATTGAAGAAATAAAGAAAAATGCACCAGACTGATTTGAGGTTGTGCCTTTCTTTGATTTACCTTATCTTTAATATATTTTGTACCGTTATTCTTTATAATTGCAGTGTGGGAGGGTAAGGACAAATTATGTTATACATGTTTGATGAGTTCCTCATGTTATTAACCACAGATCAGTGAAACAAATTAAACATCAAAACTACGTCATAAACGTTCCTGCTTTCGGAAGAACACAAGACGGTGTTGGTGACTGTAGGTTAAACATGTATTTGTTATACTTGTACTACGAGGCAGTCAGTTTTGTTTCTTTCTCCTACTCTGTGGTGCAACCTTTGGTTCCAAATCGTTGTTTGCCATTCGTTTGCGGTATGTAATATGATTGGTTGTATTTTTCAGCCCTTGTGTAATAACATTTGGTAAGCCACGACCCTTTTTAAATGTGTGTTTTCCCTTTGGAAAAGTTGTTTTTTCCTTTTGTGTTCATTGTCAAAAACAAGTCGTTTTTGTCCAACTGTAAAATATGTCTTCTAAAATGCTGTTGACCATGATGTGCTTGTCCACAGAAGCCCTGAGAAAAACATTCTGGTGATCCCTTTTCTAGCTTGTTTTCTCTCCTGAGTTTATGACTTAAAAACAAGTGAAATAAGCCATGATAATTTCTCTAATATCTCTTGTTGTAATACTCATTTTGGCCATAAGAGGCTGAAGTGCACCACTGCTTCATGTACTAAATAAGCATTCACGTTTTCTGTCAGGTGAGTTGTTATTTTTGCATGGAGGGAATACAGCTAACCTGAAAGAAAACGTGAGGTAAATTATATGAGTATTACAACAGAGAATTACAATTTAACCTGATAAAATCAGTCAACTGTTCATACATGAAACATGTTTCTGGCCAAACTTAAAGACAGTTTGCACTGGATCACAACAAAACAGTTTTCACCTGTCATTAACGCAGGAAAGAAATTAATGTAGATCAGGCTTAGAAAACTGATCATCAGAATGTGTCTTTCTACTTCCCTCCCAGGACTTACAAATCAATAGAGATGATTTAAAGAATATTATGATTAACAAAAACCCAGAGGTGGATGACAAAACACACATTGCCAGAATAACTTTATATTTGCATAAATCACCCAATTGAATTGTGCTTCAGGGATTATACAACAGCCAAGTTGTTGTTCTGATGATGGTGGTGATGCACTGCTGTCTAAATTCTGCCAGTTGAGATGACATTTAGTGACAGTTACAGCCATATTATATGATTCACATCCTTCTTTTCAAACTATTCTCTGACCCATTCTAACTCTTTTGAAAGCATCTTCTCTTGTGATGCTCATCCACTCATCCATTTTAGGTTTTCTTCGGTCGATGAATCAATATATTGAAAGCTAAATAACATAAATGTATGTTGTCATAAAAAACAACATAGCTTTTCTGTCTTCTGGGAGCAACAAGACCTTCTGTAGCAGTAGCAGCAGATACCATTATCTAATCCCCAACACTCATGTAATGATTAATCATTAAAATATGAGACTCCTCCATACAGCTGGAATAAGAGGCAAAGAAGGGGCTCTGAAACATGACGGTAGAAACACTGGTGGCATTCTGGTTGCCATGGTTTTAGTCTTGATTGAGGTTAAGAGGTCACACACTCCACTCCTTAGTATTTCACCTTATCAGCTCAACTTGAACGTAGACAACATGTACATAAATCCCTGAAGATCTGGTGATATGATTCCGGATAAATGCCCATTTTCATTATGACACACATTTATTACTTCCAAAGGGTGATATTGATTTTTACAAAGGTTAAACCCTCCAGCATTATCTGTTATATCATAACATTTCCGTAACTATTTAAAGGAATGTCAAACTTTTTTCACATATCTGCATCACTCACATCCCTGCAGTGTTTTCCATTCAGTCTCACTGTGTTTATGTGTAGCAGCACAGCGAGAGGTGGATTGCGTAAAGCTTGACTCGGGCACAGCCAGTGTGTTGACAAGAAGCCAAAAGATGTTTGCTGTCGTGACTTGACATTCCTTAGAAACATGTTACAAAAGAGGCAACGGGGAGGTGCTTTGTATTTTACACACCTACATAAAAATAGTTTTACGGGAGTGATCTTTGAAAGCACTGTACATGCTAACACCATAGAGCAATGAGAGGTCAGTTATATGTAAGGAGTTAACTGAGGTAAGGTTGCTTATTAAAAAGGCTGGCAAACACATTGGTGTGTCTGAGTAAACAAATTGACTTCATGACTCTTCCTTTAACTTGCTATTCGGTTTTCTGAGACAACCAGTGTGCTGTGATGTCTGTGGATGGGGGGGACAACTGTAATCCAGAGGGAACTCAACCTATAACCTCTGGTGGTAGCAAGAATGTGATGAAAACCTTTACCAGTGTGATGCTATGTGGCAATCTCAACACGATTATGAATTAGATGATAGAATATCCTCAACTACTCATTAGGTCTCTTCTTCTGGCAGTCTTGGAGGGAAAATGCACAAACAGACTGAGAGTTGAAGTGTGAACTTAAAGGTGTAATATTTAGTATGTATAGTAATATTTCTGTTTCAAATTACCTCAAAACAACTAGGTGTATGTCATAAACTATGTTGAGTTGTGCACTTACATTATCCCAAAAGTGTATTACTATTTTCAAAACTAGAGAAATCCATCATTTTAATCAAGGTAACGCTCGGTTTTATTTGGTCGTACCCCTTTTAGGCACGCATCAGCATTGTGATTGTCTGCCAGAATCTATCCAGTTTTAAGACACATTTTTATGATATAGATTTTGGATCTCGGTCGCTTATACTAAATGGATATTATATATATTAAACGGATGTAAGATTTGAAGTCTGGATTTATCAGCAGCCAAACAGAGGAAGCACAGATTTGTTAACATGGTTTAAATCTCTGGGCCTGTTCGACTTAAGAGAAAATGAGAACTCTGTGTTTATGCTGCCTGGTTAAAAAAATCCTGAACATTTGGAACTTAAGTTATAAAGAAACAAGCTGAGCAAACATTAGTGGCAGCCCGCATCACAGCCCCTGCAGGACGTAATGACGACAGTACTGATCCCAAGCACACTGCCACCAATTTGTGGTAGTGTTTTGATTAAGGGACCCCTACTGGTTACTTCTTCAGGAAGAATTGTGCATTCAAGCTCCCCAAAATGTAAATATAAACACATTACAGTGTGTGGAAATGTTGAAGGTATAATACATTATTATTGTGTTTTAACTTCTAATTTTGCCTCTATTTGTCACTTCTGTTCTGCAACACATTTTCATTGACATATGTTTTCATGCTCTGCTCGCCCCCTGTACAGAGGAAAAGTACAGTCTGCTCTCTGCACTGTTCTATATGTTCAGGTGTCAGGCTTCATGGGAAGAGGATTATGAGCCCCTTTATGTAAACACTGTCCACAGAAAGGTGAATGGGGAAAACATTTATATTCATCCTCCCTAGTACTGAACAAATACAACTGACAAGGTTAAGTGATTATACATCCAGCTTTCAAAACCATGGCCTGTCCATCCCAAAAACACAGCATGCTCCATTAGAATAGAAAAAAGGCAAATTTAATCCAAATGTTCATAATTAGTTGACCATTTCCCGATCAGAAGAGAGACATCTGTCATCCTTCGGGAAATGATGTAAGAGAAGATAATATTTATGCCACTAATCTGAATGTGAATTGACTGTATTTACATGAATGAAGGCTGCCATGTGGCGATCTGCTTGACCCTGGCATGGCTGACCTGCACACTGCGCACCATGTGGGGGGGGGGGGGGGCGGAGCAGCTTGGAGCAGCGTGATTATCTGTGCGGGCCTCCACTAGCCATCATGGAGGCATCAATTCCGTCAAACGTTACTTTTTTTGGACCACAGAAACACTCACCAGTTCTCAAGTTGATAGCGTAACATTTTTTTTTATAAACACTGTTACTTAGGAATATTGTAATTCATTTGGAGTTTCTAGTCACCCTATGGAAGTAAATATAACATTTGGTTTTTAAGCGCTGATTTATGTCTTAAGTTGATCAAAATGATGCTGAAAACAGCTGCCAGCTCAGCGAAAAACAACCTTATGACAGCAGTGCGTGTGAATAAAACAATAACGTTTCTTGCAGGACAGATAAGCAGTCAGCTGAAACTCTCTATAAATCTATGTTAGGAAGAAGGAGGCTGCAGATTCAAAGGATACTTAGGTTTTCCATTTTTCTTTTAAATTGGTAGTGTTTCAGAAGAATACACTGAATCGTCTCTAACATCAGTCTTTGTTTCAGGAGCTCTATCATTAAAAAACAATATTTGAAAGGCAAACTGCGGATATTAAAGTCACTCACCAGGTGACTGCACAAAGCATCAGAAATGACTGCAATGTGTCACAGGTTCGAACACCGTGAGGTTGTTCCCTGAGGCTCCATGGCAGGCCTGGGTGGAGCTCTTGTTGTGACATCATGAGAGGAAGGGGCGAGGTATAAGAGTGACAGAGCTCGGACACCTGCAGACAGACAGCAGCAGCACATCAGAGACACAGCTGCACGGATATCAAACTCTGCGTCTAATATGTCAGCTCACACCAGCGTTCTTCTTCTCATCACTCTTTGGGCTTCCATGGAGGATGGTGAGTCCATTTTTTACAATTGTATTTACTTGTGTTAGTTGGGTATGCATGATGTAAAACATGTTTCAATTACATTTCAAAAGACATAGCTAAAGCTTTGTGTTTTCGTCAGCACTGGCTTTATTCTCAGTCACAAAGCAGTGACTGTTATCACTGTATGTTGGTGCATCTAGAAAACATAAAAGGATCCAGTTGTTACAGAAAACCCACTAAATGTGACTCTTTGAATATTGATATACAGTTTGTACTCGATTCCTGTAATATCACAAGTAAAAGTAGTAGCATGAAGTGTTTTGACTCATTTCATGCAGGCTTTCTCATATAAAATAATAAAACCCATTACTTAGATTTTGGATCATTTGTTAAACTTTTAAATGTAGTCTTTATTGACATGAAGACAAAAGGAATTTATACATTCCTATTCTTTACAGAAGTCTGTTTGCTCACCGTTTAAGGTCAAGATTGATGAGTTAGGAAGAAAGGGAAAATTGTTGATGAGCTTCTTCATGTTGTCACTTGTAAATGTACACAATAGACTAGTGATTTAACATATCCATCTGTTCTGTGTTTTGAAAAACAGTAAGAGTGGAAAGACAGTCAAAGCAGAGGCCACTGACAGTTGGTGTGATGCTGTGTTTGGACACTGTCCCTGAGTGGCTCTCTGTCTTGAACTACAGGTTTTGGTCTTCCGGTGATGAAGCAGCCGGGAGTGGAGGTTGATGACGGTGTCCCCACACAGAGAGTGAGGACCAAGCGCTGCTCCTGCAGCAACCGGCTGGACTCTGAGTGCCACTACTTCTGCCACCTGGATATCATCTGGGTCAACACCCCCAGGTGAGCATGAGGGACACAAACAAGGGCAGACACACTCACTTTGAGCCCAATATCTGTTAAGTGAACTTGCTATGATCATGGTTGTATAAGAGCAAAGTATGCAGGATGTTTATATCATGTCTCTCTCTTTCGCTCTCTCTCTCTCTCTCTCTCTCTCTCTCTCTCTCTCTCTCTCTCTCTCTCTCTCTCTCTCTCTCTCTCTCTCTCTCTCTCTCTCTGCAGTAAGACAACAGTTTATGGTCTTGGCAGCGCTCTGTCTCGACGCAGAAGGTCGACCGGACGATGCACCTGTGCCGGCCCTGATGATCAAACCTGCAGAAACTTCTGCCGTCACAGGTGAACAGCCCACATTCTGTCAGGTAGCAGTTAAAGGCCTCCGTGTGGCTTCCATCATGAACTCATGATGAAAGCCACACGGAGGCCTTTAACTCAGTCTGGTATTGTTGTCCTTTGTGAAGCACAAGGAGTGGAGAAATCTAATTGCACTGCAATGCTATTATTAGCCTCAATGTGTTGTTGCTGTGTAATCTAAAGTCCTGCCTGATGGAGGGTGTGATCATCAAAACAATACAGCCGAGGTCTAAGGGAGTACAATAATCTCAAACTGGTGCACAAAGTTCACAATGCTTGTTTCTGATTGGTTTAGAGGGCCTAAGGAGTGAAGTGTGTGGGAGTTAGGAAGAAAATAAAAGATGTTGAGAATTCACGCTTCCTAAGAATGAAACAAATAATGCCACCACCTCGAAACTGCGGGGAGTGTTACATTTGGAAACTTCTACAGAAATGATATCTGCTGAAGTGGTTCATAGTTTTCATGAAACATTAAACATTTAGTGAGCCCATAAAGATAAGACTTTTTTGACCTCTTTAGAGTGTTTTTTCTTCTCTCTATGCGGAGTGTTTTTTATCTGTAGCAATATCAATAAAACATTTAAAGTGACAAACTGCAGTGTCAGGGTGAGTCTAGGCTTCACATGTAACAGCCACTTTTGGTAACTCTGCTGTTCCTTTGTTAGCAGTCCTGAAATCACGTCCCCAAAAACATCTGGAAAGAGACTTCAATTCAAAATGTTCAACATCCTCAGGTGAGTTTCAAAGACAAAAAGACACAGATTAACTTTAATTTTGATCATATTTTTCATTATGTAATTGACTTTTTGTCCCTCAGAGCTGCAGGTCAAAGAGAGCCCAGGATTCAGCTGATTCAGGCGAGTCCTCTCGGAGGATGAACACTCGCTAAACAATGTGCCAGCTGAGGCAGCGAGAGAGAGAGAGAGCGAGAATGAGAGCAGCGAGCACCTGAACAAATGACACTCCTTTGATAGGAGGACAAAGGGCTGCTGAAAGATGGTGTCCGACGCAGGAAGGCCCGGAGCACCACAAAGATGTCTGTTTGTACCCGGGAAAAGAGGGTGGAAAACGTGACAGAGTTCTGAAAACACATCATGGAAACAGATGAGGAGGATCAGCTACTATCGTAATAATATGAGATAGCACTGTGCCAGTGGTCATGTTGGACTTTGTCTGTGTATCACTGTACTTACAGGCCAGCACTGACATTGAAAGATGTAATATGCATACTATACATCCATGTTTGGGGAATTCCTCACATACATGTTGTTAGTAATCCTTTTGTAAAATGCATTTATATTTTTTCATTTTACAGTTTATCAAATACTACTTTGTTATGTGTGACTTTGGGGATACATGTTGGGGGAAAAATGTAGAATACTGAACTTAATGTCTAAATCAATTTATCAAACCTGTATCGCTCATATATGTACATGAGATACATAGAGATATGAAAATAACTAAATGTATCCCCCTTTTGTATGTGTCTTTCTTTCTAATATTTGCCCTTCTCGGTCATTTACGGAGGCACATAGTAAACTGTTCTGTAAAGAAAGTATATGCGATTGAGAATTTGAGGGAAAATAAATCCTTTTAAGTCGGCATGTGTGATTCAATTGTCTGACAAGCAAACACATTTCTGAGTTCAAAAGGAGGCCTGAGACGGATGAATGGTCCAGGAATTCAAAGCTAACATCAATAATAAGTTAACCTGGTATTCAAAGGCACCGCAGCTTGTGTTATCATACGGATCTTTGGAAAGAATGCAGCTTTTTGTATCTTTGCTCAGGGGATCAGCAAGAGGAACAAAATGCCCTGTCACCCCGTGTTCCTTTCTGAGTGTCTGCGCCGCACAAACTGTACGCAACAAGTGCAGACGAAGAAAACAGGTGATCCTTCATTTGTCATCTAATAAATCCTTCTGTAACCAACAGATTCTGGGGAAAGCAGAGAGCATTCTGAACTCTCCAGGTCATGTACTTTCACATGAATTTCGTCTGTTGCCATCAGGGCGAAGATATGCCCTACCTGATCAAAGGACTAATCGCTTTTCTAAATCATTCATCCCTTCTGCACTCAAACTTTTAAATTCTTGAAAAGGCTTTTAACTTGATTATTTATTTATTTATTATTGTGATGCTTTGAACTATTTATAGTGTAAATTGGAATTATCCACATCTGTGCTCCCGGGTGTATCTGTGTGTTTTCTTCTTGTATGTTCCTGCCTGTGTACATGACATAAGCTGCTGCTCATAACCAATTGCCCCTTGCGGGATTAATAAAGTTGTTGATGGATTGATTGATTGATAAATAAACTGACCTGCTCTTGCTGCCTTATCCAATAGCACTTGTTAGAGCCAGTATTTTGTTTTTATAAGAAAGGCCACCTAATCGTGACGTCTGCAGTCAACAGAGTATAAAAGACTACAATTCCCACGGCGCCTCCTCTAAAAGTGACAGTGATGGGCAACCTGTTAGAAAGACGTTTTTAACTGTTCAACTACCCTTTATTAAGTTACCATTAAAGTTATACAAGCCTTAACAGAAAGAAAGAAATAATACCCAAGTTGTTTATTATTTTATTTGAGTTTTGCCTTTTTTGTTTGATTTGTTTTGAGTATTGTAAAGGCCTGTTTTCTTTGATACATGCGTGAAAAGTTTTTTATTTTATTTTGAGCAAACCCATTGCATCATCATCCTACCATCGGAGGCCAAGCAACTCATCAAACTGTCAGTAACACAAATATAAAGGAAAGAAAACACGTACAAAATGTCTGTTTAAGGCCTCTATTGGCTTCATAGGAAGCCACAACAACACTGATGCATGATACGACTCAAGTGTTAATGGAGTGCCAATTTCCGGAGTAGATTTTTCTCCTCCTTACATTTAATTCCTTTCATGATTCTCCCTTCACCTGCAGCCATCCTTTTGGAACAGGACGGAGCAAAATCAAAGCTTGATGTCAGAACAGTATCACATAAAACAATAGAACAGAGGACACCGTCGGACATAATTAGGCAATACTTAAACTTCAATCGACTGTGACATAGGACCTTTATATGTTTGTTTAAGCAAGCTGTTTTACCATGATTCTAGTCTTTATGCTAAGATTAGCCTACAGAGCTCTAGAATCTCTCCTCAAAGACGATGGGCATTTTTGTTTTGGGCTGTTCCTTCCTTGTATTATCGTTTATTTAATGTTCTATGTACAGTGTACATGCTCAACATCAATACACTATTCTTCACTCCTGACCTCTCTTGGTTTTAATGACCTTACACAGAAAACAGCAAACATTTCCAACATTCATTTCAGTCCAAGAAAGTGAGTTAACGCAGACGTTTGGGTTGGAGGATGTTGTGATTCATTTTAAATCTGGGCAGTACTATTACCCAGTCGGTGAGTGGCACCAACAGCAACAATTTAAAATATATAAACAGATAAGGATTATATGACACACAAATGCTTAGAAATGATTAACTGATGTTAGCAGAAAGATGACTCTTACTGTTTTAGAAACCGCAGGCTGCCTCAGCGGAAGAACTCTGTCCATGGTGCTGGATCAAGAGAGCCACTTCATTGAAGCATAGCTTTGGGGTCAGCCTTTTGTCATTGATTGAATGAGTGCTTTCGGAAATTGCAGTTATTACAGTAAATCACATATAGGTGAATATTCAGCTTGTTTCTTTGTATCTAAATATGCTTTTATTTCTGTTCACAGTATAGCTGTGGTTAATTAATTACTTCAATGGAACAAGACATGGATAACGTCATCAGTGGCACCTGTTATCTTCCTTATCAATCAATCAATCAATCAAGCAATGTTTATTTATAGCCCAATATCACAAATGTTGCATTTGTCTCAGTGGTCTTCACAGTTTGCACAGAATATCAGTATGACAATACGACACCCTCTGTCCTTAGACCCTCACATCGTACAAGGAAAAACTTCCTTTGAAAAACCCCACAGTTTAAAGGGAAAAATGGGAGAAACCTCAGGGAGAGCAACAGAGGAGGGATCCCTCTCCCAGGACGGACAGACGTGCAATAGATGCCGTGTGTAAATTGAAAAGATAATACATTTACAACATAGGTAGACCAAATGTTTGGAAATGCATGTGTCTATAATAAGAAGATGAATCCACGAGGATGTCAACAATCCTGTGGGAGCCATCAGGGAAGTAGTATGATGAAAGTCAGGCAGGACCACAGTGACAGGTTCAGCCACGACTCGAAATCCAGGACTCAGGATCCAGGACTCAGGATGCAGGTTCCAGTGCTCAGGATCCAGGACCGCAGCAACAGGATCAGCCACGACTCAGGATCCCGGCGTAGATAGACACCAAAAAGACATTTTGGGGAAGCTGGGTTATTCGGAACATGAGAGTACACAGGTACAGACAGAGAGAAGGAAGAAGTAAGGTGTCCCCCGACAGTCTAAGGCTATAGCAGCAAAACTAGGGGCTGAATCTAATCAGACCTAACTATAAACTTTATCAAAAAGGAAGGTCTTAAGCGCACTCTTAAAAACGGATAGGGTGTCTGCCGCCCGAACACAAACTGGAAGCTGATTCCACAAAAGTGGAGCTTGATAAGAAAAGGCTCTGGTTCCCATTGTACTTTTAGAGACTCTAGGAACAACCAACAACCCTGTATTCTTGGAACACAATGCCCTAGTAGGACAGTAGGGTATAATGAGTTCTTTAAGGTAAGATGGCACCTGCCCATTAAGGGCTTTGTAGGCGAGAAGAAGAATTTAAAATGATATCCTGTGTTCTATAGGGAGCCAGTTTAAGGCAGCCAGAACAGGAGTAATGTGTTCCCTTTTCCTAACTCTGGTTAGTACACGAGCTGCAGCATTTTGAATCAGCTGAAGCGACTTAACTGACTTCTTGGTACACCCTGATAATAGAGAGTTACAATAATCCAGCCTTGAAGTAACAAATGCATGGACTAGTTTCTCTGCATCATTTTGACTTTTGAGGCAAGATATGCCTGATCTTTACTATGTTACGTAGATGAAAAAAGGCGGTCCTTGAGATTGATTTTATATGGGCGTTAAAGGATCAATCCTGATCAAATATAACACCAAGATTCCTTACAGTCTCACTGGAGACCAAATTAATGCCATCCATAGTTAATATATCTTTAGATAGTTTGTTTCGTAGAGTCTTTTGGCCGAGTACAATAACTTCAGTTTTGGCCGTGTTTAACATTAAAAAGTGTAAGGTCATCCACGTTTTTAAGTCCTTGAGGCAGTCTTGAATTGTATTTAGATCATTGGTTTCATCAGGCTTGATGGATAAATATACACTGAACAAAAATATAAATGCAACACTTTTGTTTTTGCTCCCATTTTTCATGAGATGAACTCAAAGATCTAAAACATTTTCTATAAACACAAAATAACCATTTCTCTCAAATATTGTTCACAAATCTGAAAAGATCTGTGATAGTGAGCACTTCTCCTTTGCCGAGATAATCCATCCCACCTCACAGGTGTGGCATATCAAGATGCTGATTAGACAGCATGATTATTGCACAGGTGTGCCTTAGGCTGGCCACAATAAAAGGCCACTCTGAAACGTGCAGTTTTGCTTTATTGGGGGGGTCTGGGGGGGTCCGAAAACCAGTCAGTATCTGGTGTGACCACCATTTGCCTCACGCAGTGCAACACATCTCCTTCGCATAGAGTTGATCAGGTTGTTGATTGAGGCCTGTGGAATGTTGGTCCACTGCTCTTCAATGGCTGTGCGAAGTTGCTGGATATTGGCAGGAACTGGAACACGCTGTCGTATGCGCCGATCCAGAGCATCCCAAACATGCTCAATGGGTGACATGTCCGGTGAGTATGCTGGCCATGCAAGAACTGTGATGTTTTCAGCCTCCAGGAATTGTGTACAGATCCTTGCAACATGGGG